TCCAAGGCAGTGATTCTAAAAGGTGGAAGGGTACTCTCTTGTACCACGTGATGGGGGTTGTTACGGATTGAATGTTCATGTCTCCCCACAATTCATATATTGAAATCCTGTCTTCCCATATGATAGTATTAGGAGGTGGGGGCCTTTGGGAGGTGATTAGATCATGATGGGGGGGGGGCCTCATGAATGGGATTAATGTTCTTATAAAAAGAGACAGGAGGGGCCAGCACTGTGACATAGTGGGTAAGGCCACCATCTGCAGTGCTGGCATCCCATATGGGCACAGGTTTGAGACCCAGCTGCTGCACTTCTGATCCCACTTCTGACCCCTGCACCCACGTAGGAGACCCAGAAGAGGCTCCCAGGTCCTGGCTTCGGATCTGCACAGCTCTGGCTGTTGCAGCCATTCGGGGAGTGAACCAGTGGATGGAAGACCTCTTTCTTGTCCCTCTCCCCCTCCCTCTCCCTTTCCACCTTCCCCTCCCTCTCCCCCTCCCTCTCCTCCTCCCTCTCTCCCTTACCCTCTTCCTCTCCTCCTCCCCTCCCCCTTCTCTTTCCTCCCTCCTTCTCCCTCTCCCCCTCCCTCTCCTCCTTCCCCTCCCCCTCCCTCTCCTCCTTCCCCTCCCCCACCCCCTCCCTCTCCCTCTCTCCCTCTCCCTCTTCCTCTCCTCCTCCCCTCCCCCTTCTCTCCCTCCCCCTCCCCCTCCCTCTCCCTCTCTCCTCCATACAAGAAGATTGCCATCTGCAGACTAGGGCGTTCACCCTCACCAGATTTGCAGGCACTTTGATCTTGGACTCCATGCCCTCTGGAACGTGAGAAATCACTGCTTCCTATTTAAGCAGCCCAGACTGAGGTGTTTTTGACAGCAGTCCAAACTAAGATGGGGCAGTACCCCTCTCCCCAAGAAGAGTGTACACAGGCAGCATCTATATCCACAGGGCATGCGCTGTATCCCTCAGACCACTCAAGGGAGAATAAGTCGCAGGGGAAAAGCTTTGCTTCACAGGCATTCAAGAAGATGAGAAAAGTGATTTCCTTTGTTTCCTTCCCTGCTGAGACCCTGGAGAGTTAGGCCTAGGGACAGAGAAGGAAGGAACTGGCGCGTGCCATATGTTCCCCTTCTCCTGGCGTTAGCAGGTCTGCCCGCCAAGGGACATAACTGAATCAGATTCAACAGCAATCAAAACCCAGGGGAGTGAGATTCCCTGCCAACAGCTACAGGCAACGCTGGTCATCTGGATCCCAGAGTGGACGATTCAATGCAGAGACAGAGGGAGAAGAAAGGAATACATTTGTTCCCAATAAATCCACTCACTACAATTTTATTTTACCAAACAAGTTACTCCAGGTTCTCATATTTCTGTATGCTCTCAGAAATTAACTTTCAGAGTACAATATGGAAAAGTTGGGCCAGCGCTGTGCTGCAGTGCGTAAAGCCACTGCCTGCAGTGCCAGCATCCCAAATGGGCACCAGTTTGAGTTCCAGCTGTTCTACTTCCGATCCAGCTCTCTGCTGTGGCCTGGGAAAGCAGCTGGAGATGGCCCAAGTCCTTGGGCCCCTGCACCCATGTGGGAGACCCAGAGAAAGCTCCTGACTCCTGGCTTCAGATTGGTTCATCTCCGGTCATTGCAGCCAACTGGGGAGTGAACCAGTGGATGAAAGACCTCTCTCTTTCTCTCTCTGCCTCTCTGTAACTCCGCCTTTCAAATAAATAAACAAATCTTTAAAAAAAAAAAAAAGAAAGAAAATAAAAAGTAAATTTGTAATTCCAAAACTTTAATACGCCTTCCCACTTGAGTAGTTATAAATAACCATGACGTATGCATAAGGTCACACGTGCTGAATAACAGGCATGTATTTAATAGGAAGCCATTTAAATACAAGCTGCTGAGCGTTTTTACCCTATGGTGACTTTTCTGAACCTGGTACTACAGTTATTCATAGATCCAACTTTCATTTGAAATGCTATGTCACCTTTTATAGAAGAATGCATTTTAAAATAGCAAATACATACATACATATACAAATACTATTTTAGTAGATTAATAGCATAACTCCTCTTACTAGCTATTCCTGACTTAATGTACTATAAAATACTACAATTACTTTCTAGTAAATATGCTATACATACATCTAAATGAGTATTTTCTCCTTCAAAAGTCATCTTCTTAATGGCTATATAATCATTGTGATGACTCTGACACTGGCCAAAGTTAACTTTTAGAAATCCTCTTTGGAGTCTCACAGGCATGGAAAGCCATAACATGGTGGCAAAAACAACCTAAATGAAAGATCCTGGTGAACAAGACCCCAGCAGAAGGAACAGGCCATCAAGGAGGGAGGCGCCTTTCTCTGAAGGGAGGAAGGAACCTCCACTGTGATACTGCCTTGACTAAACAAGTTCAGAGTTGGTGAACTCAAGGGGCTTCCATAGCCTAGACAGCTCATGGCAAGGGCCTCAGGTGATTGCTGACATCATAAATAAGAGTGCCAATTGTTAAATCAACAACGGGAGTCACTGAGTACAGGCTCCCCATGTAGGATCTCTGTCCTTAATGTGTTTTACTATGAAACTTAAAGACAACACTACTAGTCGAACAATACCCTATACTTTGTGCGGTTGTGTGAGTGCAGCCTGTTGAAATCCTTGCTTAGTGTATACTATGTTGATCTTCTGTATATGAAGGTGATTGAAAATGAAACTCGATGAAGGGCGGGATGAGAGAGGGAGTGGGAGAGGGGAGGGCCGCGGGAGGGAGGGAGGTTGGGGGGGAAGCCACAACAATACAAAAGTTGTACTTCGTAAATTCACATTTATTAAATAATAAAAAGAATCCCTCTTTGAAAACAAAAACAAAGAACAGTAAATAAATAAATTATTTTAAAAAATAATTCCTCTTTGTGGCATAATGGGTAAAGCTGCCGCCTGTAATACCAACATTCCATATGGGAGCTGTACAAGTCTTGGCTGCTCCACTTTTGATCCAGCTGCCTGCTAATGGCCTGGGAAGGTAGCAGAAGATGGCCCAAGAACTTGGGCCCCTGTACCCACATGCCAGACCTGGATGAAGCTCCCTGGCTCCTGGCCTTGGCCTGATCCAGCCCAAGCTGTTGTGGCCATTTGGGGAGTAAATCAGTAGATGGAAGATCTCTCTCTCTCTCTCTCTCTCTCTCTCCCCCCTCTATCTCTGTCACTCTTTCAAATAAATAAAATACAATCTTAAAAAAAAAGGAGAGAGAAAATGACTGTCAGAACTTCAGACATCACTTTTTATATGTTCCTAGTGACAAGAAATTGTTAGCTTTTGAGGTCAATTCTATCTGTTAAAAGCAAAAAACAGGGCCAGCGCCGCGGCTCACTAGGCTAATCCTCCGCCTAGTGGCGCCGGCACACCGGGTTCTAGTCCCGGTCGGGGCACCGGATTCTGTCCCGGTTGCCCCTCTTCCAGGCCAGCTCTCTGCTGTGGCCCAGGAGTGCAGTGGAGGATGGCCCAGGTGCTTGGGCCCTGCACCCCATGGGAGACCAGGAAAAGCACCTGGCTCCTGGCTCCTGCCATCGGATCAGCGCGGTGCGCCGGCCGCAGCGCGCCGGCTGCGGCGGCCATTGGAGGGTGAAGCAATGGCAAAGGAAGACCTTTCTCTCTGTCTCTCTCTCTCACTGTCCACTCTGCCTGTCAAAAAAAAAAAAAAGCAAAAAACAGTAAGATCCATGACCATGGATATAAGAATAATAGGAATAAGTAAGGCATGTATAAATGATATCTTTATATGGATCACTAATTGGTCTTGGTTACACCTAGAGAAAAAATACTGAGGGAAAATGTGGGATCAGTGTTTGAACAAATAAATGACCTCTCAGTGGGACTACTACAGGGACAGGCTATGTGTTTCATTACTTAGCTAAACTTTCTAGCAGTGCCCAATACTTAAAATGCATACTATGTTGCTATATTTGTGATAGTCAATGAAACCAGTATGAGAATCCACTCTAAGCATTCCCCTCTGTTACTGGGGCCCAGTGCTAGGCTAGCCAATCGATCAACATGCCCCTAGCAAGGACAGTCTGGGTTGAATCAGCCTGTTGGTTAAGGGAAGTGAAAGAACAGCCTTGTTCTAGAACAAAACTCAATCTGCCTACAAAGCTACTTGGCCAGAGACCTCAGGGCTGGGTGATGACTGCACTGAGAAATCTAATTATAATCCAATTTGTCACAACTCAAGTTCAGGATTGCTATGTAGAATATTCAAGTTTGAACCATAAAAAAAAAAAAAAAACTAAACTAAGAGCCTTAGGAAAAGATCATAAATTCCATTTTGTCACTTACTGAACTATGGTCTTTCCACGACATTGAATCTTCAGTGGCCCTGCTGAGGCCTTGACTTTGGACCTGGAGCCTCCAGACTATGGGAGAATACATCTCTCTTATTTTCAGCCCCCCAGCTTGAGGTAATGTGTTGCAGCAGGCCTAGAACAGGAGAAGACCAGCACTGTGATGCTGGTAAGTTACAGCGCTGGAGTTTGATCCCAGTTGTTCGCTCCCCAAATACTAAGCACAACCTACATACCATGCTTTTTTTAAAAAAAAAAAAATATTTTATTCATTTGAAAGACAGAGTTACAGAGAGAGGTAAAGACAGAAAGAAAGAGGTCTTCCATCCACTGGTCCACTCCCCAGATGGCTGCAACAGCTGGAGCTGCACCGATCCGAAGCCAGGAGCCAGGAGCTTCTTCTGGGTCTCCCACACAGGTGCAAGGGCTCAAGGACTTAGGCCATCTTCTACCGCTATCCCAAGCCATAGCAGAGAGCTGGATCAGAAAAAGAGCAGTCGGGACAAGAACTGGCGCCGATATGGGATGCCGGCGCCTCAGGCCAAGGCTTTAAGCCACTGCACCACAGCGCTGGCCCCATACCATACTTTTAAGCAGGGGTTTTGCTTCTTCCTATTCAAGACTGATCCACACTCCATGAGTCAAGTAAAAGTAACAAATCAGCTGAATTCAACTCAGATTCCGTGTTATTTAGACTCTCCAAGAACTGATATATGGAAGCTGTACAGAGGAATGAAAAGGATGCAGAAGAGCTGAATCTGGAGAGAGCAGTGACATCAGCCATAGCAGGGTGAGGACAAGTCACTTTACCCCTGTGGGACTCAATTTCCCATTCCCATCAGAGTCAGGCTAGCTAATCCATGGGCTCCCAGACAATTATTGGAGCCCACTGAACTCACAACAAACTATTTTTATTTCTGCTTTTGTGTTGTTGTTTGGTCCATACATCTTTATTTGCATTGGTCACCTCCATATTTAAATGTTTCCTTCTTGTATTTGTTCATGCACAGACATCAATCATTAAAATTTACGGAAACATTTCAATGCCCTCCATGGTGTTTCTTGCTTCTTCTGAATTCACAGCAGTTTACACTTCTTATGTAGGACCCGAGCCTGAGCAGCATCGTTGTAGCCCCTGCAGGTGCAAAAGACAACTGAGCTGTTTCAAACACAAGAGCGATGGACCATCCCCAAAATAAGCACAGCACAGCGATTAGCTTTTTAAAACCATCAAACCGTGCAGAGAAACGTCAATACTGAATTGGGTTGTTTTCCAAGAGAAACTTTCTTTAAGGATGTAAAATAGGCAAAAAAAAAAAAAAAAAAAGTATCTGTTTCTACAGCTGTGACTCCAAATGGAATCAAGCAAAGTCCACCCCCCCCACACCTTGACACACCCTATCCGGTAAGACAGGTGTGGAAAGCAGGCATGCTTAGCTAAGAAGAACCAGGCTGTTTTCACTTTGACTTGCCCTTCTTTGACAGAGGGCTATTTATAAAAAGTTCTGCAGTCAGAAGAGCAGCACAGTTGAAGAGCTTTCGAGGCACCCTCCTAGCCACTAGCTCAGGTTCTCCCTCAGCTACTTCCGCTGTGTGAGGGCTGCAGTGACTGTCGGAGGAGAGGAAGAAGATGACTTCTGTGAGAAGGATGTGGTTGGAGCGCTACCCGCCAATCCCCTTGGGGAGTTCTCGCCCCGAGGTGGGCATCCCCACAGCCTCACAGCACTATAATAGCTCTCCTGGTCATTTTTATCTATCTTTCAATTTTAAAAACTGTTTATTTAGTAGAGAGGCAGAGAGAAAGAGTCATGGAGAGAAAAGGACAAAGAGAGCACTCCCATTTGCTAGTTCACTCCCCAGATGCCCACAATGGCTGAGGTGAGCCAGACTGAAGCCAGGAATTGGTAACTCAATCCCAGTCTTCCTAGATGGGTGGCAGGAACCTGACTTCTTGAGCTATCATCTAATGCCTCCAGGGTGTGTATTAGCCAGGACTTCAACTCAGGCATCCCGATAGGATATGTAGGTATTCCAACTAGTGTGTTAACCTTTTAAGCCAAATACCATCCCTCTTATGTGATTTAAACAGCTGCTTGCAACACCAGCATAGCATGTCAGAGTGCTAGTCCAAGTCCCGGCTGCTCTGTTCCAATCCGCTTCCTGCTAATGGGTCTGGGAAGGTGGTGGAAGATACCCCTAGTGAAGTGGTTTATAAAGATCAAATAAGAGGATAGGCACAAGTCTGACCCACAGCACCCAACACAGAATCTCTGTCATATACTAGACACTCTGTGTTGTCTTTTTTTTTTTTTTTTTAAGAACTGAGAGTGAGCCGGCGCCGTGGCTCAATAGGCTAATCCTCCACCTTGCGGCGCCGGCACACCGGGTTCTAGTCCCGGTTGGGGCGCCGGATTCTGTCCCGGTTGCCCCTCTTCCAGGCCAGCTCTCTGCTATGGCCAGGGAGTGCAGTGGAGGATGGCCCAGGTGCTTGGGCCCTGCACCCCAAGGGAAGACCGAGAAAAAGCACCTGGTTCCGGGCTCCTCCCAGGATCAGCCCGGTGGCGCCCGACTGCCGCGGGCGGCCATTGTGAGGGTGAACCAGCGGGCAAAGGGAAAGACCTTTTCTTTTTTTTTCTTTATTTTTCACGTGTCCACTTTGCCTTTCCAAAAAAAAAGATAAAAAAAAAAAAAAAAAAAAAGAACTGAGAGTGAATTCATATACCATAAAAGTCTCTCTTTTAGAGCATACCATTTTGTGGTTTTTATTATATCCATGAAGTTACACAGCTGTCACGACTGATGGAGACAGGCAGCCCGGGGCTGGAAGACCAGCTCCACAATTCCAGATAAGTCAAAGAAAAAAGTGCTTCCCGGTCAGATCAGCCACCTTGTAAAGAGCTTGTCCTGTGGCCCCTCCCCAGAATGACTGCTTGGCAAGCACTGTGTCCCTGGCTGCTTGGAGCTTCAAAGGAGACGGTGAAATGTGATCATTTAGAAGATGGTCACATGTGTCACCCTGGACAGAATTAGAAGGCTGCTCACAGTGCAAAACAGAGAATGAATGCTAGGAAGGCAGCTAACACATTCTACCTCCTACAGGAAGAAGGTTAAAAGCCTGGGGCAGGGTGGGCGTTGCAGCACAGCTGGTTCAGCTGCCACGTAGGACCCCTGCATCCCATATTGGAGTGCCTGGGATTGAGTTCTGGTTCTACTACTATTACTACTACTATTTCTTCTTCTTCTTTTTCTCCTCCTCCTCCTCCTCCTCCTCTTCTTCTTCTTCACCTTTTAAATTTATTTATATTGGAGAAGCAGAGTTATAGACAAAAAGAGACAGAGACAACAAAATATCTTCTATCCGTTGGCCCATTCCCCAGATGGCCACAGTGGCCGGCACTGCACTGATCCAAAGCCAGGAGCCAGGAGCTTCTTCCTGGTCTCTCATGTGGGTGCAGGGGCCCAAGGACTTGGGCCATCCTCTACTGCTTTCCCAGGCCATAACAGAGAGCTCGATCGGAAGTGGAGCAGCCAGGACTCAAACTGGCACCCTTTGGGGATGCTGGCACCTCAGGTGGAGGCTTAACCTCCTACCCCACGTTGTCGGCCCCCAGCTCTACTTCTGATTCAGCCTCCTGCTTGAGTACACCCTGAGAGGCAGCAGGTATGGCTCAAGTACTTGGGTTTCTGCCACCAGCATGGGAGACAGGGATGGAGCTCCTGGCTCCTGGATTCTGCCTGGCCTAATCCCAGCTGTCGCGGACATTTGGGGAGTGAACCAGCAGATGGAAAAATCTCAGTCAAGCTCTCTCTCTCTCTCTCACTATGCCTTTCAAATTAAAAAAAAAAAAAGTTTTAATTGGCTGATCAGACAAATATTAGCAAAGGTTTACTTCAGGGAGCAGCTAGGATTTGAACCCAGGGTTCATTGCTCCAGAGCTGATAGTCTTTCCTAAGCCCAAGCTATGTTTTACTTCATGGAAGGTATGATCTAGAAAATTCTATGCACTACTTACTTTAGCACAAGGATAATGTGTTAGCTTCCTCAGGCTGTTGCAAAAACACCACCACAAAGTCAGTAGCTTAAAACAACACCAATTTCTGGTTTTACAGTCACAGAGGCCAGAGTCTGAAACTTACCACAGTCTGAACCAAAATCTGGGTGTTGGCAGGGCCAATCCTTTCTGGGGACGGTAAGGAAGAATCTGATTCCTTCCTTTTCTAACGTCTGGAGGCTGCCAGCACGCTTTGGCTCCTGACTCCTTCCTCTCGTCCAACCATCCTCTTGGTTCAGCGCCTCTTGGGCTAGGGATACCTGGGTGACTAGTATTTTAACCTTCCACAATAGTAAGCTGGAAATTAACAAGTGTAAGAAGGAAGAGAATGAGCACATTGTCAGGCACCCTGAATAAGGTACTAACTGAGAACCATGGGGATGCGGAAGGTAAGACTGGATTTTAGTGTTTGATTCATCAGAAAGAGGAGTGAACACAATCTGAATTATCTTTCTGGGAACGTCCCGGGAACAAGTAACATAACGCTAGACTATAATTAGGCTGAGTCAGAGACGGAGGAAAGAACTGGAGACCAAGAGACCCCGTTAGGATTTACCTCCAAAGCTGCACAAAAGGAGATTCAACACCACTCTTGACCCTAGGGGTGTCTTCTAAGCCTTGTGTACCCTCCTGTGTCCTCAGACACACAAGGCAGCCCCCAGGGAAGGCTGAAGAAGCTAAGGGCTAAGATTTGGGGAAAGTAAACCAGGTACCTGGGGTGCTTCTGCTGCCTTCACTGACCTTGAACTTGCAACATGCTGAGAATGAGTGCCTCCTAATGCTTCAAATTTTGCAGTCTAGTCACCTCCCGTTCTGTTATCCAGTCCAGTTCTGGGCAAGCCTTGTGCAGGCCTGGAGAAATGCACCAAACCCTGACAACATGAAGAAAGGCATTTGAAGCTGTGTAATTTATCAACTGCTCCTATTATAACCCTTTGCAGACATCTTAATTTCTAAGTCTAGACGATTTTGATGAAGCAAAGTACTCATTTGCCCATGGGAGCCTTCAAAGAACAGCTGAACGTCTCCTGCCATTTGCTTCTACTTACTTTCAAGCCATCAAATGCCCTAAGAAGACATAAAAGGAAGCTTCTGCCCAGCAGGACCCAACCTCAATAAAGAGGCACCTGGGAGGCCCAGCCATTCACATCCCAGAAGAACTTGGAACCTGTGGACCACCTGTGCATGACTCCCTGGCTGGTTTGGTGGTAAAACAAAATGAAAGGGCAAAGAGAAGCAAGGATTCAAGCTATCACCATCTAAACAGCAGTGTTTGCTCGCATTGCTTTAAAAGCGATTAGCTTGGGCCGGCGCCGCGGCTCACTAGGCTAATCCTCCGCCTTGCGGCGCCGGCACACCGGGTTCTAGTCCCGGTCGGGGCGCCGGATTCTGTCCCGGTTGCCCCTCTTCCAGGCCAGCTCTCTGCTGTGGCCAGGGAGTACAGTGGAGGATGACCCAAGTGCTTGGGCCCTGCACCCCATGGGAGACCAGGAAAAGTACCTGGCTCCTGCCATCGGATCAGCGCGGTGTGCCGGCCGCAGCGTTCCGGCCGCGGCAGCCATTGGAGGGTGAACCAACGGCAAAGGAAGACCTTTCTCTCTGTCTCTCTCTCTCACTGTCCACTCTGCCTGCCAAAAAAAAAAAAAAAAAAAAAGCGATTAGCTTCTCCAGATGAAGCTGTCCCAGAGAGAAGGGAGAAGGGCGCCAACACGCGGAAGAGTAGGCAAAGCAGCCAGCGATACTTGATAGCTACACTGGACTCGTGTCCCCCACAAGGATGGGGCAAGGGCGCTGTGTGAAGCACTGATGACTGATCTGCTCTTGACTCCGCTGCATTCTGTATAAGGTAATTCTCTGTTGGGGGTGGGGAAAGGGCTTGGCTCTGCACTGTTAGATGTTCAGGTGCCCGCTTGGCTTCTAGCCACCAGATTCTGGGGCACACCGCTCCCCCAGCTGTGACAACCAAAACCATGTCTCCAAAATATTGTCAAATGTCTCCTGGGGGCAAAATAGTCCTTGGCAGACAACTAGAGCGTCTGGGAACTGGCAGTGCTTCGGCCAACCTGTGAATCCAGCATGAGAAGAGAGGAATGCTTCATGAGGACACATCACAGAACAGTAAGCCATCATTCCAGTCACCCTAGAACAATAGCCACGAAAGTGTTACAACTGTGCTTTATACGTCATGGAGAAGCTCTGACTTAATAGAAGGGGAGATGGGGTCCTGCTAGCCTTCCAGAGACCCCCAAAATTCCACCCACCCCTCCATCTCCAAAGATCCACAAGCACGTATGCCCTCACCCACCCTTCTTGTCTGAAACTCATGCCAACAGCTACAGGAATATTCTTTTTAAATCTGTTGTCCAGGGAATCTTGACAGAGAGCTTCAGATAGGTGATAATTTTTTTAAACTTTTTTTTTAATTTTTTTTTTTTGACAGGCAGAGTGGACCTTGAGAGAGAGAGACAGAGAAAGGTCTTCCTTTTGCCGTTGGTTCACCCTCCAATGGCCGCTGCAGCCGGCGCACCGCGCTGATCCGATGGCAGGAGCCAGGAGCCAGGTGCTTTTCCTGGTCTCCCATGGGGTGCAGGGCCCAAGCACTTGGGCCATCCTGCACTGCACTCCCTGGCCACAGCAGAGAGCTGGCCTGGAAGAGGGGCAACCAGGACAGAATCTGGCGCCCCGACCGGGACTAGAACCCAGTGTGCTGGCGCTGCAAGGTGGAGGATTAGCCTAGTGAGCTGCGGCGCCGGCCTATGGTGATAATTTTTTAAAATGCTGAACATTATGCATATACTGTCATATATTGCTTAACAACTGGGAAGCATTCTGGGAAATACTTCATTAAGTGGCTTCTTCATCATTGTGTGAACATCATAGAGTGTATCCATGCCAAGATTGCCACAACTTCACTGCCATATAATCTTATGGAAAGCACCAGCATATTTGCTGTGTGTTGTTACGTGACATGTGATTGTGCTTTTATGTAAAAAAAAGAAAAAATGTCATATACTAGATGGATGGACGGATGGATGGATGGAAAGATTGATAGCAAGCAAGCTCTGGGACTTACTTTCTCTAGATACCAAAGACAATAGGAATCTCACGTAAGTGCTCTGACACACATCCCCTAGATGGATACTCACAAGGTGGTCAGTGTCATTTCTTGTGCACCTGGCATTCATGACAGTCACAGAGATAGCGGGTCCTTAACTGTGGCTGACACCAGGGAGAAAATGCAGGGTACTGTGAGGAGTCAGAAGGGTTCATAGGTGGTTGAGTTGGTCCTGGTGGAAATAAGGAAAGGAGAATCTTTCTTTTTAAATTATTTATTTAAAAGGCAGAATTACAGAGAGACAGAGGCAGAAGTCTTCCATCTGCTGGTTCACTCCCCAGATGGCCACAACGGCCAGAGCTGGGCCCATCTGAAGCCAGGAGCCAGGAGCTTCTTCCGGATCGCCCACTCAGGTGCAGGGCCCCAAGGACTTGGACCATCTCCCACTGCTTTCCCAGGCCATAGCAGAGACCTGGATCAGAAGTGGAGCAGCCAGGATTCGAACTGGCACCCATATGGGATTCTGCCACTGCAGGTGGTGGCTTTACTGCGGCAGCATGGGCCCCCAGGAAAATCTCTTTGAGGGGCCGGCACTGTGGTGCAGTGGGTTAACTCCCTGGCCTGAAGCACTGGCATCCCATATGGGCGCCGGTTCGAGACCCGGCTACTCCAATTCTGACCCAGCTCTCTGCTATGGCATGGGAAAGCAATAGAAAATGGCCCCCAAGTTCTTGGGCCCCTGCACCCGCATGGGAGACCCAGAAGAAGCTCCTGGCTCCTGGCTCCTGGCTTCAGATTGGTGCAGCTCCGACCGTTGTGGCCAATTGGGGAGTGATCCATTGGATGGAAGACCTCTCTCTGCCTCTCCTCTCTCTGAGTAACTCTTTCAAATAAATAAATAAATCTTTTAAAAAAATCTGAAATGGTGCAAAATGCTTGTTTCTCCCCAAAAGTTATTAAAATCAAGGTACACAAATCCCACTGCACGTCCCCAAAAAAGACCAAAGTGCCTATCCTACTCCTTGGGAGCTCCCAGTTTTATCATGAGAATAGCAACGGAGTGGTGATTCTACCCTTTACTGTAAAGGCAGAAGCTAGCTATTCCACCCTTTTGTTTTATGAGCAAGCTGGACAGGGCAAATAAGATTACAAAGCTGGCCTTTTTATGGGTTTTGTCCCTGCCTTCTAACTGATTGTTAGCTGTTCGTTAGTTTTTCCCCAAAACTGTGCTTATAAAAAAAACCTCCACTTCCACCAGCCTCTGGGAGACCCCCTGCAGGCCGAGTCGGCAGGAGGTTTGTGACTTAAATAAATCTTGCCTTTCTCTCTGCCTTGTCTGCGTGGAAATTCTTCTTTCATGTAAGACAAACAGCTGAGGTCATCTTTCTGTGCGGTTAGTGGTGCTCACAGAGAAAGCCTATGGGGACACCCCTCGCTGGGGTCCCCCTGTCCTGGCTGTGGCTTTCAGGATAATGGAGCTGCTGAGAAGCCCAGGCCAGCCACTCCCTACCTGCTCCCACTCCTCCAGCCCCAGCCTCTCCCCTGCTGCTTCTGCCTGCAGCTGCCATGCTGTTGCACCGCTCTCTCCTCCCAGTAAGCATCAGTTTTTGATTGCTCCAAGCCAGGCCTCTCGGCATCCTCTGGGCCCCTCCCTTGCTGCCTCCAGTACAGCTGGCTCAGTGATTAGCTCTGGGCTGGAGCAGGGCCGGACCATTAATTCCCAAACCCTGTCATCGTTTCCTTGACTGTTTCCCCAGGAACAAGCCTGGGGCTGTCGGGCCCCATGCAAACAATCATAGGGGGCGGTGCTCTATCTTGCACATTCCCCGCAAGAGTGAGAAAAGCAAACAGCAGCAGCAGGATGAATAGACAGAAGGCTCTGCTGGGGAGAAGAACACCATTAAAAAGAAAAAGGCCCTTTAAGGGCAGGCTGCTGCGAAGATTCCTGGTGCTGCTTAAACAGGGCTGTCAGTGTGCATTGTGTTTCCTTCCAGGCCTCCTGCTGGTTTTTTCTATAGTCTTGGCCCTCCAGAGTTTGGGTCTGAGGGCTAAGCTACTCTGAGCAGCTGTAAATATCCACCCAGCACTAAATTATAAGGAGCACAATAGCCATCCATATTTGCATTTTAGGGTACTTGTAGTAGTCGGGATTCTCTCAAGAAACAGAACCAATCAATGTAGTGTGTGTCTGTGTGTGTGTGTGTGTGTGCACGCGTGCGTGTGTGTTGTGGGGGGAGAGGATGGAAAGAAAGAAAAAAAAGAGACCCAGATCGATTTTAAGGGATTTGCTCCCATGATTGTAGGGGTTGGCCAGTCTGAAATTTTCAAGACAGGACAGCAGGTTTGAGAACTAGGAAGGCCATGATGCTACTACAGCCTCAGTCCAAGGAATTCTGGAGGCAGAATCCTCTGGTCTTTGAAAGACCCCAGTCTTTTCTCAGAAAGCCTTCAACTGAGTGGTGACAGCTCCTATAATATGGAAGATAATCTGCTCTGACTCAAGATCGAATCTGGTATTTCACCAATTTGACACGTAAAACTGATCACAGTCATCCTAAAAGCCTACCTCATAGGGCGGGAAGTATCACTGTGTTCTTAAATCTGTATATCTGAAATACATGAAAGTTGTATAACTTAAAGAAAAAAATTTTTAATTTCTAGTCACTTTTTAAAAAAGATTTTATTTATGTGAGAGGTTAGGTTACAGAAGTGAGAGGGAGAGACAGAGAGAAGGGATGGAAAATCTCACTCTGTTTCTCCCTTTCCCTCTCTCTAACTCTGACTTTCAAATAAATAAAATAAATCTTAAAAAAGAAAGAAAGTCATCCATGGCATTATGAGAGATACAAACTCATTAAATATAGTACCTCTGGAAATCCAATTGGGGAATGATTGGGCTAAGATGTATTTCGCTGAGAGAATTCTCACCAACATGGCTTAAGCATTACAGATCTTTACTTTTCTGCAGTAAGAATGAAACCAGATATTCTGGGAAAGGAAAAACTATGGACACGGTAAAAATGTTGGTGGTCAGGGTGCAGCCTTGGTGCAGTTGTTAAAATGTCACTTGGAGGCCGGCGCGGCAGCTCACTAGGCTAATCCTCCGCCTTGCGGCGCCAGCACACTGGGTTCTAGTCCCGGTCGGGGCGCCAGATTCTGTCCCGGTTGCCCCTCTTCCAGGCCAGCTCTCTGCTGTGGCCAGGGAGTACAGTGCAGGATGGCCCAAGTGCTTGGGCCCTGCACCCCATGGGAGACCAGGAGAAGTACCTGGCTCCTGCCATCGGATCAGCACGGTGCGCCAGCTACAGCGCACCAGCCGCGGCGGCCACTGGAGGGTGAACCAACGGCAAAGGAAGACCTTTCTCTCTGTCTCTCTCTCTCACTGTCCACTCTGCCTGTCAAAAAAAAAAAAAAAAATGTCACTTGGGACCGCTACCTCCCATATCAGAGTTGCTGGTTTGGGTCCCAGCTCCACTTCCAATATAGCTTCCTGCTAAAGCACAATCTGGGGAGTCAGAAGATGATGCCCCAGGCACTTAGGTCTCTGCCACCCACAAGGAAGACCTGGATTAAGTGCTGGGCTCCCAGTTTCAGCCTGGCACAGGCCTAGCTATTGCAGGCATTTGGGGAATAAAACCGCAGATAGAAAATCTGTGTCTATCTCTTTATCTCTCTCCCCCCCCATCTCTCTGCTATTCAAATAAAATAAAAATAAAATTTAAAAAAATGTATAAGATTAGCGAGAGAAAAATAAACAAGTGTATCAACGGTACTCATCATGTAAAAGAAACGCCAATGAAAAGCGTCTCCAGGCAGTGGCTTGGAACTCTGACTGTCCCCAGCAAAGGACAATACATTGCTGGGGAAATGATAAGACAGAGGAAAGCACTTCAGGGAAATCGGGGAAGGTAAATATGTGGTAGGAAACTAATGGAGTCGGGTTTGCTTGCAGGTTTCTCAGGGGCCCTGTTTGGGCAAGAAGACTGTGGAGCTATCTCCAGCAAAGGACAGAAAAGAGAGTTTTCCTCCATTTTCTGCTTCTTAATTGCCTTTAGCTCAAAATTAGCTTGTATGTCCAAGGGGCGTATTTGCGAGTGACATATTCTGGTTCCCTTCGTTCTGGTTCCCTTCTGGTTATGAACTTTTTTTTTGGGGGGGTGGGGTGGGCAAGAAACAAACTGTTCACAAACGGGCCAGCGCTGCGGCCTAGCGGGTAAAGCTGCCATCTGCAGTGCCGGCATCCCATATGAGCACTGGTTCAAGTCCCGACTGCTCCTCTTCTAATCCAGCTCTCTGCTATGGCCTGGGAAAGCAGTGGAAGATGGCCTAAATCCTTGGGCCCCTGCACCCCCATGGGAGACTGGAAGGAAGCTCCTGGCTCCTGGCTACAGATCGGCACAGCTCCGGTCGTTGCGGCCATCTGGGAAGTGAACCAACGGAAGGAAGACCTTTCTCTCTGTCTCTCCCTCTCGCTGTCTGTAACTCTACCTCTCAAATAAATAAATAAAATCTTTTAAAAAATGCAGCTTATTTCAGGAATTTCTTATTCAGTACTTTCAGGCTGCAGTTGGCTGTGGGTAAGTGAAGCCACAGATAAGGTGGGGGTGGCGGGTAGGGAGGCAACTGTATAAGTGCCAACAAAACACCCCTAGAATAAAGGAGAACCAGACTTGGCAACAGGGCCAGTGTTCAGCCACCTGTCTGTCTATGACCTTGGTTAAGACACAAGCCAGAAACTTGGGTCTTTTTCCCTCCTCTGTAAAAACAGCAATGGAGCATGAAGGGGGTCCAGGAGAATTCTTCATCCTATCCAGTTAGCTCTCAATAGTGGGGGAAAATGGCCAAGCCAGCACGTCCAGTCTGTAAGGTCAGGCTAATCCCACTATGATTGCTTGAGCGAACACAGGCTTCAGAGAGACGGAGGCAGACAGTGAGGCTGCAACGCTGGCCTGGCAACATTTGGCACAGCACTAAGTTGCCCGGTGTCCTCCCCTGGGACAGGGTGACAATCCCGTCTACCTCCAGGGGCTACAGAAAGGACTACGTGGGAGAAAACACACTTAGCACCGTGCTTGGCACCTGGTGAGTAACAGTTGCTGAAGTTCACAGGAAAGTCGACTTTTCAAGTACGGACTGTGAGACTGCAGCAAGGGGCTGGCCCATTCATGAGGATGGCTATTGTTTTAACCATTGTAGATAAACCCAGAAAGCAACAAGTGTTCAAGACACCTG